AAGTGTTTTAATATCAAACCATGTTATTTAAATTCGCTGAACTGAACAACGTTATATGTTTTCCTACTTCTGACAACGTTTTTCTTTGTATCTCTTCAGTGCTGTTATCATGTTTATCGTTCGTCCCGATGAAGTAAACGTATATGTCCAAAGGATTCTGGAATACAGCATCAGAGACAAGTAAAAACTTAGCAGATAAAACGCTTTTCCATTCAGTGTCAAGTAACCAGAGTAAGAGTGATCACCAGAGCCAATCAGGGCAAAGAACGTCATTACAAACAACCATAAATAAGCTCAATGTATATTGAACGATCTCAAGCGAAGGAAACTCGAATAACTGGCTACAGTGAAGTGAAACAAAAGCAACGGAATCCGTGATTATTTTTGCTCTCGAACAGTGCCTTTTCCTATGATTCAAGTGGAAAGATCGCCATCTATTGACACGAAAATGTCTAAGATATTGCGTACATCATTTATTGGTTGATGTCTGGATCTCAAGGCCGGGAAAGGGGGGGGGGGGTATTGTGAACTATTTTGGCTAATAAGCAAAATATGACTTTATCTCTATTCTTGCAGAAACAGAACTGTAAAAGTTATCAGACGAAGTTTGACCGAAGTTTTTACCCAAAGCGAAGTACACGGCGACAAATCTCTCTTTGTGTAAGCAAGTTTGCGTTTTTTTTTCGTCCTAGATTTCGTTTTCTGTTCAGGAACTTATTGACAGTACCTCTTGGTTCACTAACAAAACGACTGAGAACTGATTCACTAGTTAACTCCCTACGTATCAATTAAATGAATGTCTCCCTGACATGCTGACTGGGTGACTGAATATTTACTCGAAGACTGCATGATAAAATACTTATCGATTCGGTGTAAAATACTGAATCATATTTCTTATGCAAAGTATGTTTCAAAGTCCTCCTTTCTCAGGGTTCGGTTGATAAGACGACAAATGTAAATTGTAATTCCAAGATCGAGTGAATATTATCTGCTGTCAGCAGTACCTAGATATGATCATGTTTTAAATGGTGACATATTCTTATTTTTAATAGGGATGGACTTGAGGTTGCCGTAGCCTACTTTAGAGCGGGTTACACACCCGTTGATTACCCTAGTGAGGACGTAAGTGCCTTTGCTGACTCTATTGTAAAACCTTAGATAAGTAATTTTCTAGAAACTTTTTCCGAAGGGCAAATTCCCATGAAACTAGCCCGGTGAAAAAATTCTCCCGCTATGAAAAGCAAAGATGTTATAAAGAATTAGTGATAAATTGCAAAGAAAACGCTCATCTGAGTTTCTGAGAGGCTCATGTATGTGTTCTCTGATTAAGTACATGTTGATATTCTGACCCAGGAATGGTCAGCTCGTTTGACAATCGAGTTGTCTCGTTGCGTTAAATGTCCGACGGTGGCTTATCAGTTGATGGGAACCAAGAAGATGCAGCAAGTATTTGCTGAACCTGGAGTTTTAGAAAGGTAAAAGGCACCGCAGAAATAACGGTTTAACTATCGTGATCACCAAGGCACGATCTTTCAAATTTTTCCTTGTCAAACAGGGTGGGGTGGTTGGGTTAGAGAGTTCCACCAGGATACCGGTAACCTGGTTAGCCCCCCTCCCCTCCCCCCATAGGAACACATTGTAGTTTTACTCGGAGAAGATTGATGGGGTGAGAACTCGGAAACTGAGCCAGCCCCGATTGATTGGGTTCATCCTATGAATAGACCCCTAACCCTTTAAAGACCTCTACACCCACACATTATAATACATATTTTACTTACTGTTCTTTATACATGTACTGAAAAGGAGAGGCTATTTTACAATCAAGGGCCTCTTTTGTTAGTGATCGTTTCCTTTATTTTCGTGACCTTAATATCTGATTTAGGGGACAAACTGGAAGGAGATATCAAATGCTAGTTACTCCGAGGGATTTAAGAGTCTATGAACTCCAGCTGAGTTCAGTTTATGACTTCATATTTCATATTTTGTGTAGGTTTTTGCCGAATAGAGAAGCAGTCGACAGAGTAAGAGCAACATTTACTGGATTATACACTCTTGATCCGGTAAATAAATCTCTGCACTTAATGCCAGGAATCTTACCTGGCGTGTGAAGGAAGAATATTAATGATCAGACTTGGCTAAGGAATGGCATACTTATGTCTCTCCTCCAGGGGAGGACATCCATCACACAGTAATCTCGTGCGTGGGAAATTAACGTCTCCTACCCCCAACCCAGCAGGAGCCAGACGGAACCTCCATTTATTCGTCCCTATCCGAGAAGACTAGAATATCTAAACCATTTCTTGATGTTATTATAGAAAGGTAGCGAATTCTTCTCAATTATTTTAAGACCTTGAGTGTTGGTCCGGTCGTTGCTCGAACCCTCGACCTCCCGCACAACAGTCCAGCGCACTATCCATTGAGCTAATCTGCGGTGAACTGAGACAGGGTGTGGACTAAATCTGTAGTTGCACTTGTCTACCGACATAATGAGTGTTCGTATGTGTAGGTTTGCATTTAAAGCATGCAGTTTCAAGTCTCCTCGTTATGTATTGCTTTTAATGTCAGTAAAGGACATACCCCAGTTAGCCCAATGGATAGTGCGCTGGACTGTTGTGCGGAAGGTCGAGGGTTCGAGCCCCGGCCGGACCAACACTCAAGGTCTTAAAATAATTGAGAAGAATTTGCTACATTTCTATAAGAATATCAAGAAATGGTTAGATATTCTAGTCTTCTCGGATAGGGACGAATAAATGGAGGTCCCGTCTCCTGCTGGGTTGGGGGTAGGAGACATTAATTTCCCACGCACGAGATCACTGTGTGATGGCTATCCTCCCCTGGGGTGGGATGGGTGGGTTTACTGGGNTGCTTCAGTATTCAAACAAGAATGACAGGTTATCAAGTGTCTGTGAGAGTGACAAGGTTCTTTCCACTGCAGGTAATCTCATCTACGGGGAAGATATCCGGCACACCCTTCAAAGCAATCCTGAAAAGCGTGCTCAGTATATTCTGATGGACCGGATTCAGCCTGCTTGCATCAACAAAAACTTTGTTGTTCGTCAGGAGTCTATAAAACCAGCTGAAATTATCTCTGAACTGGGAATTTTTGGCATATTTCTCAGGTAAGCATCGGTTTCAATGTAATTCAAATTTTCTGTGTCTCTGGGACCATTTTCAGTTTCAGGAGAATGTGTAAGAAAACCCCTTGGATACCTCTGTTTAAAATTGTTGTCTGTTTTTTCGGCCACCCTAGCCCTGATCCGACCGTTTTCAACGCTGGTCTTTTGTTCCTGATTGAAACCTTCTACTTATTTGCATTTTAGTCTTATTCGGCGAACAAAGATAAAACAAGACTGTTCAATGTTAGGAATTTCTCAACACAAACTGCTGCACCGTTTTTTTCATATTTAACTCTTGTTGGCTTCCTTACCATAAGTCAATTCTATTGACTACGCCAGTAAAATCTGTTTGAATAAGTAGAAGCGCTTCTTGATTGTTTCTCATAAGTGGTCACAACTGCTAATAAAATCATAGGTTAACAACGTGAGGGGCCAATAAATACTTAAAGTAAACGCATTCAGTGCTTTAAGCGCGAGAAAACGTGTAGTTTTAAATCTGATAGGTCAAGAAAGTGACGCAACCCTCTGGACCAATAATGCAGTGTGATGATGCAAAATCAAACCAATTGCTGTCGACGTCCGATTGAAAATTCTCAAATAGCGACTTGCCAATCGAAGACTAACAAGCTTTTTTTCTGCTGTTTTAGTCGGGGAGATGAGATAGAAGTCAACAAAGATGGAGGCTTCCTTCTCCGAAGTAGACCATGGGATAAGTTAGAGGTGATAAGTCTTCACGGAGAAGGCGCCTACAGCAGTCCATATTTGGTAGACTAGAATGCACCTCACTAAATGCGAAAAAAGCGAATAGATGCTAAAGACCACTTTCATAAATAGCTGCCGGATCGATATTCTTTTGTCCAAATTTTATTTAGACCTTCTGGCCTCGTTCTCCAGTACAAAATTCAAATGAATACATTATCTCAAGCGAGGCCACTAGGGCTAATTTGAATTTAAACAAAAGAATATTAATCCGGCAGCCATTTTGGAAAGTGGTCTATGCTGTGTGTGTCCTGTATGTAATCGATGTCATATATCGTCAAGATGCAGTAAGAATTAAAAAAAATGGCCCAGGAATCGCAGTCGAGTATGTTACTGATCTTCTTATCAAGGTAGTTTTCTCCGTCCCTAACAATTTGTCCGTGAAAAAAAAGGCTGGTCTGACCTCATTGTCACGTAGTGATATACCTCTCGACTTTTTATTTGAAGGATTTGGAGAGGTTGGATATCTGAAGTAAAATTCTTTTTGCCCGCTGGGGCGGATCCAGGGGTGGTTCGGGTGGTTAGGTCCAACCCCCTAAATTTTCCCTCAGAACGCTGGAAATCATGTTTCCGAAGACCTAATTTTCAACATCTCCGACCCCTCCGGAGGGGGACAATTCTCCGAACCCCCCTTGACTAAATCCTGGATCCGTCCCAGGCCCGATCCCTTAGCTGAGGAGAATTTTCGAAGGGGCTGGTTAATCATTTGAATGCGAGAGGCGAAAATAAGATTAAATATTATCCCTTTGAAAAGATGTTTGTCTTTGACAAAAATGCTTAAATGGAAAGAGCGCGAAAACTACTTTGAATTTGATTTTTCTTGGTAATGCTCAGCCTTTAGCGCTGGGTGCTCATCGCTGGGGTTTGAGTGCCTTCCTTTTTAGCGCGGATTGATACACGCTAGTGGTTGGATTATGAATAGCGAGCCAAAGAAAAAACCAAGAAGGACGTATTCATAACGGGTTTGATATACGAACAATTTTTATTTCCATTTTTGGTAAATGCAAGTTTTATGTTTTATGCGACTTTTCCAATTTTCAGTTTATAAATAGACTTTAGTCGCAAGTTAACTTAACTACCATGATATTTTTACTGAAGTAAACCAAAACAGTTTATGATTAACCAGATTTTCCCACCGCAAACCGGTAAAATATTGACAACCTCAATAACGGCAAATGAAACAGAAACAATGAGAGAGATAGCATGCATTTTTTTAAAAAAAGTTAAACAGCGTGATAACTACTCTCTGAAGGTATGCTTATCGCAAAAAAGAACAATACAACCTACAATCTTATACGTAAAAGCTGCAAAAGGCCCAAGATAAACACTGAACGTTATAAGAACACATTTGTAAATAAATTTATCTTTAAATACAACTTTTTAGGATATTTTATGTCAGATACATGTAACTAGTTTTTCACATTTTCAATCTTTTTATTCTATTGTAATTTAGCTGAACTTTAAATCTTTTTATCCTGTACCATTAGATATGTAATGAGCAATGAAGACAACAAAGACAATAAAGACATTTATTGTATTATTATTATTATTAATAAGTTCCCTTTCTACGATTAACAAACCAGTTTATTGTTTATTCTTTTGTTTTATCATGAGCGAAACCGAGGGAGCTGTTTTCTCTTCCTTTCCGAGCTCAGATGGCGATACTATTTGGAATACGCTTTGGTAAAAGGTATGGGTATGGGACACGAAGTTTTGCGTTTCGCGCCTTAATTTCAGCGGATATGCCCTTCAGTTTCCTCTGGAATGCTGCAATGGCGGCTTTGGCAGGCTCGTCAATGAATAGCTCTTCAGGGTAGTCACCAATGAATTTCTGTCAATTAGAGGAAAAAGATAATGAGTGGTTTTAAAGTAGGACGACCTGCAATAAAAAACAACAACAACAACAAAAAAAACAAAACAAAAAACCTTAAAACAGGCACATGATAACATCAACTTGATTCTGAAGATACTGATGGTTTTGCATCGTTTGTTGGTGAAGCACTCATGCGTACCGGTCACTTGCTTTTTGAAGTGTGTCCCGTTTACACAAAGTTTGCTTCATCTCTAGAGGTGACCTCAACTGATACAAGAACAAAGGGGATAATTTTTTTTAGGAAATTGTAGTGCTTCGTCGGCGGAGAGTGTCACAAGATAATTTTTTTTTCAACTAAAGCTTACATGTTGAGCATTAGCCTTCTGGACGAAGGGCTAACGCGCTAGAAACTGTCGATGGTGGCCTGTTCATATTATCGACTCTGTTAAGAAAACCAAATTACCTCAACTGGTACTGTTGAACAAGATCGCGAGTTAAGCACAAAAGTCATGTATTACTGTACCTCGTCACTAAAAATACGGGTAAGGCCGTACACCGTGGCGATGGTGAGCGAAGACTGGTGCTTGGTAGGCAGGGATTTCATGAGGTCTGCTTGCCCCACAACTCCTTTCTTGGTCGGTGGTGGTTGACGCATGATTGTTGGAGAATTTTGGTGGGAAGCCATATACATCCATCTGGGAGAAGTTAACTGCTGCATACTGGCAGGCGCAGGTGAAGATGATGGAGGTCAAGAATTCGTACAGCTAGTCACAACTGGTGAAGGATACTGGGGCACCATGGTTTGTATGGCCTGCTTTATTTGGATAGCCATTGTCATGCAGATCCTTGACCCAGTTCTGGAGCTCGTGGTCCTGTAACAACAATGATACGTTGAGTTTTATTTGGATGAACAGCAAGACAATGATAATGCGAAAGGAAGAACATAACCAAAGTGATATACCAATGTCCAAATATTCACCCGTCATTTCACAACGTTTTTTCGAATTTATTCAACATCCCTTACAGGATCATAAGGCTTGTACACAAATCGAAAGAGCGATCTATCTTTTGATTATGTAATTTACTTCAGTTTATGATTACCTCCTGAACCTCAGCATCAGAGTGATAATAGCCAGACAGAATCTCCTTGACGTAGTCTGCGATGGCTACCCAGAGCTTTAAAGAGTCTTCGCGGTAGTGGAAGTTGGGCAGTTTTTTAGGATCATGCACTCCTCTGTCCTTTAGTACTTGTGGTAGGATGTACGAGGGCCAGGTACTGCTGCTCTTGTAGAATTTCTCAAGGAGGGTGAAATGCCCTGGTAAAAGCAACGGGACACATATGCATGGCACAATGACTCTTTTCTTTAAAAGCCAACTGTTGTTTGTACTTTGTAGAACCAGCCTCAATAAGGCGCAGAGTAATGTANAACATGGCAAGAACTCCTCGGATATGAGGGGCCAACAATTTCCAAATGGGGTGGATTGTGGGTAATTGTCTGTAACTGACTACCGTAATGGGTTCCATGAAGAGATGAGTGCGGAGATGGGTGACTATCTAAATAACACAGACACAAATGGCATGAAATGTTATTTTGTAAAAAGCAGCATTTTTTAGGCATCGCTCTTGTTGCTCAGACAACCTATTCTGCGTGTAGACGTGTTTTTTACCTTCTTGATCATACCACTTTATGGAGTGTTCATTTTTCGAGTTTTTTAGAGGCAGTCCATGGAACGCAACGGTCAAAAGTCGGGCATGTGCAAATCGATCAACTTTAACCACGCGCCAATCTTTCCGCGTAAAAACATCTGGGGGGGGGGGTAACATCCCAAACGCAGGCTAGGATTTGTGCCGTCTCAGATGATTTGATTTGAATCACACGCGATCTCTATAGATTCTCCATGTTTGATACAGTCTCTTACCTGATGAAACTGAGAGTCAGAGTTACGCAGCCACAGCTTGGCACAGTTCCAGTCCATCTCGGAATCGTTTGGGGTCCATATAGGGTTTTCATCGTGTGGTTCCTGATGGAACTGAATTGCTATTGGTACCAAGTCTCCGTTACCTTTGACGTAAAAGAGGCCCAGGCTTGCGCATATGTATCTCCTTTCTAGATCGGGTTGGTCCTGCCCGTAGTGCGGAATATCCTCCAAGATCTTATAATCCACCATGTAAATACGGCCATCCTAGGTAATGAAACCTACAATATTTCTCAATACTGCCCTATGACAATGAACTGAGCTAACCTCAGGAATTTCGTAATTTTTTCAAAGGCTGCTATTATTTGCATGCGGATTTTTCTTTTTTTTTAACAAAAGAAATTTTTACCGCCATGGCTTTCTCCAAAGTGTCCCCACTGTCCAGTAGGTTACCAACTAACTCTTGTGTGACGGGAAAGTGGGGTGGCAGCTTTGTGCACCTCATGAGGGAGTCAGGACTACAGCCATTGAGAAACTGGGATCCAAAGAAGCGGTCTTCTTTCCAGTAGTCTGCAGCTACTGGAACTTCTCCAACAAAGCTAGTAAATGCCTAATGAAGTAATTGTAAAATATATAAGACTATTGCGTCACTAGGCATGATATGGAAAAGTGTCACTTGGCCATACGACAACCCCCCCGTCAGCGATAAACAGACTTAAGGGAATACTCATTATTTATCGTCAGGAGGAGGGAGGATCACATGGTTTTCAGGAGGAACTGGGAGGGGTCAGTCGTCGCCAGCAGAGTAAGAAGGGAAACTAATAAGATTGACAGCCAATGAACTACCAATGAGAGGGGGGGTGGTTATTATAATATCACATAGTACATTGGTGGTATCAGGAAAATTGTATCGTGACACACAAAAAAATCTAACCCTCATTCCCCCTCCCAGGGAAAACAATGACCGATCCCTAATAGCATCTTGTTTTCTTACTCAACGTCCCCCTC